TTTTTTTTTTTTTTTTTTTTTTGTTCTTTGTCTCTTTATCTCTTTGTTTCTCCATGTTTGACATCTCCTTCACAAATATGCGAGTAGAATTTTCACAAATTAGTATTAGAGCGTTCTATCGTTAGTGTGTGAGATTTATTAGTGAGTTTTATTTTAACAAATTGGTATTAGAGCCAATAGCGTATGTGACGGGTCAAATGCCGCTACTTCGACTAATGAAGACAAACTACGAGAATTGGAGCATTCAAATGAAAGCTCTTCTCGACTCTCAAGATGCATGGGAGGTGGTCGAAGAAGGTTTCGAAGAACCATAAGATACCACGGGTTATACGGCGACATAAAACAAGGCGTTAAAAGAGGTGCGATCAAAGGATAAGACGACACTATACATGTTGTCCGAGCTGTTGCTGAGTCGAGCTTTGAGAAGATTGTTAGTGGAACTACTTCAAAAGAAGCGTGGGAAACTTTAGGAAAAGTATTCAAAGGAACCGACCGAGTCAAGCAAGTGCGTCTCCAAACTCTTCATGGCGAGTTGGAGAGCATGAAGATGAAGGAGTTAGAAAGTGTATCCGACTACATCACACGTGTACAGACCGTGGTAAACCAACTCAACCGAAACGAAGAAATGTTACCCGAGACGCGGATTGTGGAGAAGATTTTGCGGTCATTAACCAATAACTTTGAGAATGTTGTATGTACGATAGAAGAGTCAAAGGACCTAGCGACGTTCACGGTCGATGAGCTCGCCGGTTCTCACGAGGCACACGAGCAACGTAAGAAGAAGGAGGAAACACTTGATCAAGCAGTTCAAACCAAGCATCAATCAAAGATGAAAAGGTACTCTACTCTCAAAATTTTCAAGGTAGAGGTTGTAGTCGTGGAAGCCGCGGAAATGGTCGTGGAAGCTGCGGAAATGGTCAAGGTGGTCAAGGCAGCAGTAATGAAGGATACTATAAGGAGAAGAGATAGTCGAGCCAAGCAAATTGGCGTGGAAGAGGACGCAGTCAAAGAAGATGGTCACTATGCGAATGATTGTAACTCCGACAAATGTTACAATTGTGGCAGAGTGAGACATTTCGCAAGCGATTATTGAGCCGATAAAAAGCTGGAAGTGTTAAACAAAAACCATGCCTTATTTAGTTAGGTTTGTAAAAACATCTGAATTCACGCGAATGGAGGAGCGTGATTCTAGGGGCAAATGTGAGTGAATCTCTCTCCCTCCCTCCTTTTACTTCCGCTAATTTTTCTTTCGAAGAAACCTTCGGCCTATTTTTTGGTCGACATTCTCCTCCGAATTGTCAGAGTCAACAAGTGGTATCAGAGCCTCGTTGAAGTGATCGGTAGAGCCAATCTTATCAACAATCAAGTTGAATAGCTCAAGTGGTTAGAGCGTCGACCTAACAACACACAGATCTCAGGTTCGAGTAGAAGAAAATGCAAAGCGCAAAAATAAATATATCGCGTGGGGTCCGTCTCGAGCAGGCTCGCTCACTCCTCCACGCCGCAAAGTGCCGGCATCTCCATCACCCCACCACGAAGAGGCCGTGGCCGACACCGTGATGACGGGCGTCGAATTGTTGAGCGAGTGAAGGAGTCCGCGACCAATGGCAGGCCCGCGCGGAAAAGATGGGAATCAAAAAAGGAGCCGACGACCACAATGACAGCTCCGAACTGTGGGAAGAGAGGACACTTGAGCAGAAATTGCTGGTGAAGGGCGAAAAGGCCCATGTGGCCACCACCAACGTCTACTTCATCCCGAGGCTCAAGGCTAACCTTATGAGCCTGGGTCAACTCGATGAGATAGGTTCGGCTAAGACCAAAGAGGTATCTTGGAGGTGGCACGCAAGGTACGGGCACTTAAACTTTCCTGCCCTAGAAGAAAAGCTACAGAAGGAGTTGGTGCACGGTTTGCCAACAATCAAAGGCGTGAACAAGCTGTCCGACGGGTGCCTCATCGGCAAACAGAGGCGCACACCCTTTCCGTCTCGAACATCCTACCGAGCCGTTGGAGCTTGTACACGGTGATATCTACGGGCCCATCAAACCGGCGACCCCAGGCGGGGTAAGAGTCTCTTCCTCTTGTTAGTCGATGACAAAAGCCGCTTCATGTGGCTGACCCTGCTGCAAACGAAAAGTGAGGCGGCACGAGCGGAGGCCGAATGTGAGAAGAAGATGCGAGTGCTGCGCACAGACCGAGGCCAGAGAATTCACCTTGGAACGTTTCAGTAAGTACTGCGACGAGATCGGCTCGTCATACAACGGCGCCTTACTCCCCCCAACAGAACGAAGTGGTAGAGCACCAAAATCAGACCATTGTCGGAACAGCGAGGTCATTGGTTGGGAGATTCTGGGGAGAAGGCAGTAATGATGGACGGCTGTCTAAAGCCTCGACGGGAAGACACCATATGAGGCCTGGTACAACAAAAAACCAACAGTACATCATTTCCGCGTGTACATGAAGGTAACACGTCCCCAAACCCGGGAGCAAGGCGTACAGACTCTATGATCCTGTAGGGGGGCGAGCTCACGTGTCTCGCGACGTCGTCTTCGACGAAAGCACCTTCTGGTAGTGGAATGACGTGATCAAGGCAGACCTAATCTATCAATTCACGGTGGAGTACCTCGTCACCGAGCCAGAAGAAGGCGGAGCCCAGCATCAGGAGACGTCACCGTCGCCAGCAGGTGCACCACCTGAACCAGTGGAATTCGCAACACCACAGACTGCGGATTCGACGCTGGATGCCGATCACGATACTGATCTGGAGGCCAGGTACCGGAGGATGGATGACCTAGTGGGTGGAGGTGAACCACCTGGACTGGCAGCGCGCGAGCACGTGATCAAGGCAGACCTAATCTATCAATTCACGGTGGAGTACCTCGTCACCGAGCCAGAAGAAGGCGGAGCCCAGCATCAGGAGACGTCACCGTCGCCAGCAGGTGCACCACCTGAACCAGTGGAATTCGCAACACCACAGACTGCGGATTCGACGCTGGATGCCGATCACGATACTGATCTGGAGGCCAGGTACCGGAGGATGGATGACCTAGTGGGTGGAGGTGAACCACCTGGACTGGCAGCGCGCGAGCTCGAAGAAGT